GATGTCATGTAAATTTCAGAAGTAAAAGAACCTGTTCTAACCAGGAGCTTTATTTTACTGTTATAGATAGATGTTAATGTAATTCCCATTTTCAATGTTTTTGTTTTCTGAACAGACTTTTTCATCTCCATTACCTTGTGTTATTAGTGTTTAACACGTACTCTTTAGGTCCTCACCTGCTGGACATTTACCTAGATGTAAAAACTTCAACAGTTTTTCTCATCAAACCTTAGTAAATACCGGAAAATATTTAAATAACAGGAAAGATGTCTTTTATCAGTGGTTTTTCTCATCAAACCTTGGTAAATACCCGAAAATGTTTAAATTACAGGAAAGATGTCTTTTATTAAATTGACGCAGAAGTTATGTAACCTAACGTTGAAATATGGCACTGAAAAAATACGTTAATCTCGAAAAGTTCGTATTACCGTTTGGTGATACGTGCATATAAATATATAGGTATATGTATATAATATGATCAGTAGTTCCACGTGTAATATGGTAACGATCGGAACAAGGTTTCTTGTGAGAACTCGGTTCAAGTATTTGTTTTGATGTTAAGCAGATTAAGAATGGACCTCAAAATCTATTGACGTCATTTACTTTCATGTGATATCGGTAGGGTACTTCCAAACGCTTAGATATGGCTCAAGTTCAGGCGAACTTCACGAGAGCGATTGTATATTTATTGCATATTATAATTATGTTTTATTCATGTGCTATTTTCACAGTATACATTTCTTAGTACTTAGAAATCAATGAAAGTAAATTTCCACGGAGAAGAACGTGTTTTTCGTCTCAGAGACGATAAGAAGATGCTAAGGCCTCTTATCTTAAATCTTTACAAATTTTCCAGCCGACTATTTTAAAGCAATTCGTCTTGACATTTTTTAAAGGATTTATTTCAATATTGTTTACAATTTGTATAGAGTTTGGTTAAGTTATTGTTGTTTTACGTCCTCTTAACAGCAAGGGTCATTTTAAGGACGTGCCAGGTTTGGGTGGAGGAGGAAAACCGGAGTTCCCGGAGATAAATCACCGACCTGCGGACATACCTGCCCCACGTAGACCTCGAACCCGCGAACAAGAGATGTAGGGCATGTGATCAGTAAATTTGAATCTAACAGCTAATGTACATATTTAAGGTATGTCAAGTAGATAAATCATAGAAAGCTCATTAACATATCTCAGGATATCAAAATCAATTTCAAAATCAATGAAACGGGTGTTAAGTATGAACAAAAATATTCAAACGAAGACCCTTCAAAACATGCAAGGAATATAACTGTTGGTCAATCCAAACGAAACGACATTTAACTTTATATATTAAAAGCTAATGGGAATTTTTCCAGTGAAATCGTACTGACAACCTTAAAAACATCCCGGCTGTCTTTGTCAACCTGCATCATCAATTAAGTTTCCTATGTTATTAGCTGTATATTCTTTATAAAAAAATTGGCTGTGAAAGTATGTTTGTTTCTCTCTAAAAATTTTAATATCACAATAGGGAATATAAAGTATCCCGCTTTTCTTTCGGTTTCTATAAGGTAGATTAAAACGGTTTAAATCATTCGTAGAGCATACCTTACAGAATCCCTTTATTTCCTTCACGTGCGAAACATATTCAGGATGAGATATAAATGACAACGTGAAACAATATTTTTCCATATATGGAAGTGGACTAAATTTGATGTCTAACGGGTAATCTGAAAAGTGGTTAATTATTTGTCAGAAATACTTTGAATAGATGACGTGTTGTTGATTTCAGTGTTGAAATTGGTACACATAGTATCAACTTATTAACGAGATTGCAATGTCATCCACTTGCGTAAGAGTACTCAATATCTCCTCGTAAGCCTTGAGGTACACTACATAACGTCTTGTAAACGGCCCACGACGTTTCAAGACTCTTGAAAAAAATGGTGTCAAATAATTCAATTCATTTATAATCTTTATGTTTTGTTCTTTGTATCATTATTTTGAAAATAAACATTCTTTTCACCACTTAATGTTGCTGTAAACAGTAGGGACTTTATTGTGGAAGAATAATGATAAGTAGACTAACCGTCGTGTTTATAGTTTGTACTTTCACTTTTAAACTACCGAAGTGTTATCGAGGTACTTGTTCATATACTGTGGTATCAGTAGTAATATATGGTAATTTGGCCATGCTATTGGCCTATTTACTCTCTTCAGCGCGAGGGTTGGTGCTAAAGCTGATCGATAGCATACAAAACAGTTGTGTCCTTCGTTGCTGTTGTTGTCAGGTTTAACCAAGGCACAAGCTAACATACACGTGCACGTTCTAAGAAAAAGAAAGACATGTAAAGTATGAGCTGACAGGATATATCTCAGGATACTTAAATAAATATATGTCTTCAATAAAAACAGTAAACTATTGTCTGATGATTTAGGGGAAATACTTCACTAAATCAAGTTATAAATTCAATTCTAACATTTATTTCGACAAAGATAAACAATAGCATCACTATGTGAAGACTGTATATTCCATTTACAATGGAAGGGGAGTAACTCTTCCGAGTTTAAGGAACCAAGGTGTATCGATGATCTGAGATAGAGGGGTTTATCAAACTAAGTTTAGGATTGGATTTTTTTTAATCAATGACGAAGTCGCTCTTAATCTTATATATACGAAACACAGCTGAGATTCGACAAAGCCAGGCAAGTTATCGGACATCTTGCGTACGATACGATTTTTACAATAATATCTAAACATTTTAAATTAAGCGCTCTTTTCACACAATTGGGTTAGGAAATTACATAATATCACAATATGAACAATTAGGGATGTGAATATAGTTTATATCTTAGTAGTAAAGAGCCAGATGATCAATTTCGTTATAATATTGTGTACGCTATCATACTGACGGTCGACCCGGAAGATCAGTTGATCGGGTTTAACTAGAAAACTTCACAATTACGTCGTAAATGGTTTTCCCCATAAAATATACTGCCATTCTAGTCTTCTTTGCGCCAATGCCCAATTATAAAGGAAGTAGAGTACCTGGATAATGTAAGCAAAACTCACCCGAAGTGGACGACGCCATTTTGAATTTGTGTGTGTACCTTACTTTATGGTCACGTAGCTTCTACACATTGCTATAGATACACCCTGGTGGTATGTATATGGAATCCATAGGCACGAAAAAAATATAGGTGAATATGTGAACCTCAAAATAGCCGTTACAGTGTACTATTAGCAGAATTTCATCAGATAACTTTCTCATTTGGTACTTTATCTTCCATTATTACGCTATTTTTGGAGATATCCTGATCGTTCATTCCAAACAAATATCGGTAATAATTGTGTTTTATACCATAAAAATAACCAAAAGATTAGAAACCAATTAGGATAAACAAGATAACAAGAACTTCCCATTTTTATCTTCTTCTTTCTTTCTCTCTGATGTTTCTAATATCAATATTTAATGGGGTTTAATATATTTTGTTAATACCTGTTATCTTTGTAGTCATTGTGACTTGTAATGTTGGGAGAGAACCTAGTAATTTTGAAGAAAGTTTGCCCAATCCTTTTGTTATGCTGCAGAACATATGTTTTAATGAAGTTCCGTGACTCCTAAAGGGATGTTTTTCTTCTAACAAATGTGATGATATTAAAATTGAATAGTACTCATAATTGGTATTTTTTTTTATATTTTATATATCTTTACGGTTTCTGGTCTGAACGCATAACTCAGTTGTAGTTTGCCTACCATAGGAGAAGTCAGTTCAGCTCAAACTCCGCCCAAAAATTGACTGAAAGTCTCGGTAATCTCCGTGGGATTCTCATATAGAGCTACATTTGTATTTCATTTGATTGGCACCGCGGATAGCGAAGGGAGGATAAAGACGTGGACGAGTCTCAGTCTACCGAGGTCTTGTCATCGACAGTCAAAATAAAGGCACACTGTTCTGAAAAGAAGTTCAATATACTTTTTTCATTTTACGTACTCCATAACTGCAGTACGCCAATAATAGGTTGCGTGCGCAGAGTCAATCAGACGAGAGATGGCCGAACACCCTGAAATCTGCGAATGACTGTTTCCATCAAATGGTCTCACTTGGAGTACATTTATGAATCCTGTGTTTACAAGTATTTTTTAATGTATTGCTATGATAAACATGTAGTTCCTCTCGCCCAGACCCATTCCATACACCTTGTGTCGGGAAACCAGAGAGATGCCATGTTCCGCAAGTCCTTGCTTGTATACTTATTACTGAATCTATTGAGCTACGTTTAACCATGAATTCAGGTGTCAACGAAAAAGTGATTTCTCGTAAACCCACGGAAATGTTATCGCTTGCGGTACTTCTGCTTTGCAGGTAGACGTGTAAAAAGTATACCTACTCTCCCCAGTCCCCATTCCACTATTCGTAAGAGGCAAATCAAATAGAACTGGATCTAATCTTTTCCTTTGAAACATTTGCACCTGATGTCTCCCTTGACACTTTTTCCCACTTTTGGCCTTTAGACGACTATTCGCCCTTGTAATGAATGCCTTGGGTTTTGTCCTCTGGCCGAGACATAGTAGTCTTTAAGATAGTAAAGTATAATGTTACCAGTTGTGGTGTCCTGGTGGGAATATCTCAGTGTAGCAGTACAAAAAATTCGCCATTAGTTCTGCAGTATCACAACGTAAAGACGTAAACACGCACGCACCTCCCAAAACACACGCACTCATCATATACTCCTACTTCGCATAATTAAGACATTAATCAATATTATTTTCGTATCAAAAGCTTAATATGATGTAAAATCTGTAATACAAATTCAGAAAGAATCACAATTTGAATGCAAAGAAGTTGATTTTATTAGCAGAAATAAGAAAACACGTCAAAAAGATAAAGGAGTAGGGGTATTATTACCCTTTTTTTAAAAAAAAAAAAAAAGTTAATTGGTTATTTTTTGTCAAAGTTCAATAGTAGTTACAATCAGTTCAATAGTAGTTACAATCAGTTCAATAGTAGTTACAATCAGTTCAATAGTAGTTACAATCGCAGTGTTTCTTGCTACAGAATCCACCGTTACACATGTTTTCGCAAAATTCATTTGGTTGTGGCATTATGTCAATGTATCTGCCATACATGTAGGTACACTTTCTCTCCTGGAATTCGCACCTGCATTTACACCTATCACTGGTACATGCGTTCGATTTGGCCTGGCATTCGTTCGTGCACCAATCAAGCAAACAATCAACAGCGGGCAGAGGTGCCACAGGCGTGCATTTGAGTACGTGGTTTGGTGGACAGGAAGTCAAAGTGGCCTCAGTAGGGGCTGGTGGAGGGGCTGGTGTAGGTGCCGGTGGTGTGGGGACAGAGTCTCCTACTATTTCAATATCCATGCAGTTTCGAAACTGCTCTTGCGGATTGCCACAGCAGTTGTTGCCTGTAAAATGATACAAGATTGGTTCCTGCTTGTATTCAATTGATTTCTCTTTTTCTCAAAAAATGTATAGAGAAACATGTATGTATGATTAATAGATACGGATACCCACTGACTCGATAGAAAATGTTTGATAAAAAAAATCCGAAGAAATGGACCGCATCCTCCTTCTCCATTCTACATGGATCTACAGCTCTTATCAGTTATACCTGTATTGTACCAGTGAAAGAGACCTCGTCTGACCAAACACATGCATTTTTTAACATGTGGTGTTTAAAAATGGATTTTCAAAATTGAATCTTAAAAATCGGCTTAAATGGAATAATACGTAAATACAGACGATTGTGTTCACTTAAAACAGTTTCTCTTTCTCCAATATTAAATGACACGCGAATAAGCAAAGATCTTTCGCACAAAAATCACATAGTCATTATGCGTGTGATTGACTTATCAAGCGATAGAGTATATATAATACAAGAAAGTTGATATGTCTGTAAGGATAGTGTGTGGCCATTAGTGGAGAAATGACACGCACTTTCAATATCCGCTTTCATTCAGTAATGTGGGTCAAATTAAGTATTGGCTTCAGTCACGCACTTTCTTCGTTAAATTTAGGTATATCGTAAAAACTATAAAATCGTTAAAGAGCCAGACCCACTCCTCGACCTATATTATTTTATATAAAAAAAATCATGATTTTCTATTTTTCTCGGGTAGAAAAATTTCTGACTTACCCTGTATTACCGCAATTTAAAATTAATCGCTACCAATCTAATGAATAGATTTAAAAAAAAATTCGAAACGACTCGGTGCTAATTCATAATTATGCGGGAAGTCATGCCCTCTGACGCATGCGCAAAGAACTGGAAATAAATCTGCCGTCTTTCAACATGGCAGAAAGCGTGCGAGGGAAGCGGGGAAGAAAACGTGTTTTGACGGACTCTGGGGCGAAAAGAAGGAAGATGGCTACTTCATACTCTGTATCGCTCTCTGTTTGGCTCTCACGTGTAATATCACTCTAAAATCATATTCATAAATACTCTTATCATCGAATATTCGCTTAAGATAGATCCATTTCGCGATGTTCTATTTGTTCGTTACCGTATCGTATCCCCAATTTGAGGGCCTCTTTGCAATTAATCATATTTAATCTGCACATTTTTGTGTCATATCTAAGCATTCAAAGATGTAATTAATACATACATTAGATGATTTCCATACAGGATATATTGATTGCATTTATAGGTAAAATCTCTTTACAAGCGATGTCACATGGACGTACTACTCGCCTCTTCTTCCATTTTTGTTTTGGTTCTGACCGCGTCTGAACGTATCACGTGACTTTTCCTAGTCAATATTGATATCCTGGTGTTGATTAATGAGACTAATTCCGACACCTATATCTACGGTACCCTTTCAATTTCAAGTTCGAAACTTTATACAAGTCTTTATTTATATATTATCTATTAGTATACAACGACATTTCCAATCAATAAAATATGAAAAAAATATCTATAACGGAGTGGGTCTGGCTCTTTAAGTTTGGATACGTACGTGTGAGCTGTTTTAAAAGAACTGTATTATTTATCATTGAGAATATATATCTAGAAAAAAACCTGTTTATTTATACTTGTGTTCTCGAATATTTTAGTAAAACAGCATGATAATACACTTTAGAATATAACATGAAATTGTAATTGAAACTATAACAATATAGATTGTGCTCACAATCAGAACCGGATGTCACGAGGTGCCACCTTAATATATCTGTTTTTATAAAGAAGTGTATTTACCGAACAATAATTCAATAATTCTTACTACGTGCATCGTAATTGTGCGAAATAATCTGCTGAAAGAAATCCATGTTTTTTAACACGTGCATACAAACAGTACGGGCTTTATCTGTTTAACATATAGTGTGATTTCAAATACATTGTATGGTACCATACAGCGTTGTTCATCCATGTGTATCAATCAGCGGCAGGTAGGGAAGACGAAAAGGGAGGGGAAGGGGTAGAGCATGTGGGTGTCTATTTTTGAGGTAAGATACGACCTACACCTTTATACTAATACAGACACCGAGGAGAAAATTAAAAGTGACATGTAACGTTATGATAAGCAGTAAGTGTAACCTGTATTTTGTGAATGTGTGTTTAGGGAAAGTAAAATACTATGTCTCCAAAACTGACATGCTTTAAAGAGGATGGATTGAAATTTGTAACTGATTTATACATATCTGTTACCTCTTTGGTAATGTTAAAGACATGGCGAATGTCATAACTGGATATGTACAATATGTTAATGACCAGCATTGATTTAAATGAGGCGCATCGGGTTGTGTTTCCTTCACAAGGCAAAGTTTCTACGAGAAACCAATTTAAATGCTTAACGAGGTCTTGGATTTTATCATGGCATTTTCCGGATGGAGCAGAGAAGCCATGGAAGTCATATATAAAATCATGAGGATTTCAAAAATAATTCTGTTTTATGAGATTTATACCATAACTATACAACCGATCAAACAAAAACGCCATACCTCCTATCCAGTCCCAGCGGAGAACGCAATGGGCACACGTGACACCAGTTGGCAACACGAGCTCTAGATTGGTAATATTGCCATTTCCATTTCCCAATGGCCATACCTTGTCCCTTGTTCCCGTGATAGTATCAATGATGTCGAGAGGATATTCGTTTAGACATTGCTCGAGTTCTTTTGTCCGTCTTGTAACATTGGCGCTAGGACAGAGTTTGAAGTCGAAGAAACCCTTGTGGTTTGCCGTGACTCTAACTACTATAGAAATTGTCTCCCCTTCGTTATAGGTCTTTCCGATCCCTGCTTTACCATATTTGCCTCCCTCTTCCATATCTCGGGGCATGCCTTGAGTTATGTCGTCACCACATGGTCCGCATAGGCCACCGTTTGCTATTTGCTTCTGTAAACAAAAACAAAAAGCATTTCACCAGCATGATTAATTATCAGTTAAGATTTTTATCGTGAAATCAGCTCCTATAATATAAGACACAGACATGCTAAATATTGACATCAAACGATACACTGTTCAGAAATATGGCGAGAGAGAGAGAGAGAGAGAGAGAGAGAGAGAGAGAGAGAGAGAGAGAGAGAGAGAGAGAGAGAGAGAGAGAGATAAATCAGCAACATCATTCAACATGTAACGATAAACCGCCACAGTTGACTCCCCATGGGGTGTGGTATTTACCAAGCAGACCCCTACTCACCGATAAACCGCCACAGTTGACTCCCCAGGGGGTGTGGTATTTACCAAGCAGGCCCCTACTAGGTGGATCGATCATGTCAGCATGTCCGGACACATGCGCTACAAAACAGATTACCAGTACCAAAACGTCGACTGACCACATCTTTCTGGCAATGTTGTTCTGTCCCAACTCCTGCTTATGTGGTTCATTCCATGATGATGCGGTTTGTATACTAAGTCCCCTCAACCATAACATTGTTCCCAATAATAAAAAACATGTGAAAGTCACGACATCGTTTCAATAGTGTAAGTGATTAGATTTCATGTTGTGACTCATAAGAAGATATGGTACACCGTACGGCCCAGAAAATAGTGTAACGTTTCCATTTTGTTTATTATCGCCGTTCAATAACGTTTCCATAATGCTTCATTATCGTCGTTAATAACGTTTCCATAATGCTTCATTATCGTCGTTCAATAACGTTTCCATAATGTTTCATTATCGCCGTTCAATAACGTTTCCATAATGTTTCATTATCGTCGTTCAATAACGTTTCCATAATGCTTCATTATCGTCGTTCAATAACGTTTCCATAATGCTTCATTATCGTCGTTCAATAACGTTTCCATAATGCTTCATTATCGACGTTCAATAACGTTTCCATAATGTTTCATTATCGTCGTTCAATAACGTTTCCATAATGTTTCATTATCGTCGATCAAAATTCAAAATTTGTCCGCATTTTTTGGCTAACAATCCTTTATAGTTTTAAAGATAAAACACAAGAAAAAACACAGCCAACAAAACAACACTGAACAAAACGAACAAAGATCCAATTCATATTCCTTGTAGACGTAGAGAATTAACGGATGCCATTACAAAGTTTCGGTGATTTCTGGGTGTTCCGGAAAGGACCGACCGAGACTTACGATCGAATCGTATTGTAAAGTTTGTGAGTGTTCCGGAAATCATCAATCGAAATCATATATAGTGAGTAAAGATCGAAATACGATAGTTTAGTCTAAAAATAGCAACAAAAGAATATTAGTTGATATGGTGTTCAAATATTGAACATCATGAAATAAACATACATTTTTACAAAATCACTCTCTAAATGAACGTAAAAATGACGTTTAACAATGTAAATAACCGTTGAAATAAGCAAGTTTGAATGCTGCAATGAACAAGTTTATTTTAAAAAAATCATTAAATAGCTGTCATATCCGGTGAAATTTGGAACTATAATTCTGCGCGGAGCAATTATTTTTGCTTAAGCTATCAGGCAAAATTCAGTATAACTTCAACGTCAGGTAAACACAGATTGAACAACAAAACTATTTAAGTTGCAATGGTCTGATTTTCAGTCAATGCTCCAGGATAAATCGAATACATGGCCAGTGTCTTAAAACGTAAGCTGCATTACAGCTTTCATTTTAAGACACTAACCATGTATTCTCTATGTACGTACCAACCACTTTGCACAAGTTCCTGGCGGAAGCAAGTTCAAAACCAAATGCACTTGCAGTTAAAATAACTTTGACGCGACGTCTTAATGAATATGACAATTTAGATCGTCTGCTTGTCGTCATTTCATGGAATTCATTGGTCCTTTGATATTTGATCGAAGTTCATTTGTTTCTTTGTTTGATGTCAGAAGCCATGATCACCTATATCTGGTCTTACCTAGGTATCCGTACCTAACATCCAGAATTTGGAGATTAGATGGATGGCACAGCAATAGAATTAAAAGAAAAACGGTCAAAAGCTAGAATTGTGCATCAATAGGCGACAGTGGTGTCCCTAAGTTTTTGTTTGAAACTGATTAGGGACTCTGAAGATCCTACGTCCAGAGCGGTATTGTTTACGGACAGAAGCTGTATTTATAGTTTCGGTTTGGAAATGTTGGTTTTGACAGTGGTGAGTAGAACGAGTGAAGACGACTTGAGGCTTCTTGTAAGAAAGTGGATCTATTGAAAGTTATCTATCTTGCATAGGATAGTTTGTTTGATGTGATTTCTACTTTTTTCGAGGGATTCAAGCACGCTTACCTCGGGTTTAGTGATGTCATAAGCTTAGAAGTTGTGCACACAATCCGATTCATATAACTAATATGTGGACAACAACATTATTCTTACTGGTGATATGGGGCAAAATGGGTCACGAGCTCCGGCCGATCTAGACGGCAGTTTCCTACCAAGACTTGTAGCTCCACATACAACTCTATGTAGAGATTGGGAAGATCGAATTGACAACAATTTCTCCCAGAGTGCAACGGGATATTAAACGTGCATTTCACTCATCATATCTCGGTTGAATTGTACCTTAGGGATAGCCATGCATTCTTGAAGCAATTCATCTGACACAAAGTTGTTGCTCCAACGGCCACCGTAGTTTCTGAAGCGGACAAAAGACGATTTTACTCTCGAGTTACCTTTGTGTGTAGGTGGTGGAAATATGTAGACAAATAACTTATGTTCCAATTCGTGATCAGGAGTTAGGATAGCGTTACAAACTTCACGACAAAGTGTTTTATTTAACAGTATAGGGTTTATTTACAAGTGTGCAGGTCATGATTGGTAGTAATCTCTGACCTAAAATTCAGCTTTTCCATCAGTTATCATTACTGTGAATTACACCGAAAAACGTTTTTAGTGAAATTATATATACATTCAAAACATTTTCATGACAACCTAGATCCGAAAATATGTTGCAGGATGTTTTGTTTGCTGTAACACTATAAGGCTTATCATCATCATCATGAACCTTTGATAATCATTTTTTGTTGTCATCTGGCAAAGGAAATAAGATAAAATTATTCGTCGTTCTGTCGATTCTCTTGGTTACACGACGAATAGAGTCATTGTTTCGCTCTTTGAGGCAACAGGAAGGAGGTAATTATAATAACAATGATACCAATTCAGACACTGCAGCACGTGACCATTGCAGCGTCATTAATATGTATGGTTCATAAAAGGCGGTTCATTCAACGAATACTGTGATTGTTCCATTTCGGTGATTTCAGAACGATCGTTTTCAAACAAAATTACATTTGGTATGGGACTGAACATGTGATGAGAGTGTGAATACGAGCATTGCATGGTCTTGTTATGGCATGTATGGTTTATATAAATGACAGTTCGTCGCAGACAAACAAGGAAGATGTTGTCACAAAAAGTCTGCAAAAAGTTGTCATTTACCATAGATACCATAAGATGCAGCCCAATGTTAGATAAGGTCAACATCTAAACAAATTACCTACAACTAAGCATAAATAAATACATGTACATGAAAAAGAATGCACGTGCATGTATGGAATTCTGGTACATGTACTTTGTTTCATATTTAAATGATACAATAAAAAAACAAGCATTGACAGCACAAAAACTCCTTGGTGGATAAACATATTAAAAAGAAACTTGTTTCATCCAGTGTTTTTTTTTCAGAAACCATTATCAGCTGTCAAGATATCCAAAGTGTGCAGGCATTAAGGGGTTGCATGTGGAATGGATCTAGAGATAATATATTTGTATATACCGTGGGTTGGTAATCTTTCTGATAGCTATTTTCACATCACATGTGGGAGATGACTATGGACGTCGCTGAACATCGAGGGAATTTTGAAGATATCATGACACAAGGCCTAAGATAGTCCTTCAATTTCCTGATTACGAGTGAACAAAAGCACCTATATGTCACTTAGTCTCACTAACTTCCCGTATCAGATGGGAATGGTCTCCCCACCACCTACTGGCCCCCCACCGACGGCCCCCATGCCACGGGCCAAGTGTCTCATTTCTAAAGTTGATACCATTGAACGGGTCATGCTGGAATTGAGTGATGATGCTAAACGTTTAAAAACCCGCATGGCGGATGTGGAAAAGTCCCAAGAATTTCTTAACGCAAAATTTCAGCAGAGTAATGTCGGAGGGGATCTAAGAGACTTGAAGTCCAGTACTGACCGTGCTGCGGACGACATTTCAGACCTGAAGTGTAGGTCGATGAGGGAAAATCTGTTGTATTTTGGGATGGAAGAACTAGAAACGGATTTCATCAAAGTAACGAACGAGCAGGGGAAGGAGAGAAGGGTACCCACGGAGGACATAATAGTAGGTGATATCCAACGTCTGGCTAGAGTCAAAATGGAAATTCAGGGACCAATTGGAATTGATAGGGCTCACAGGATAGGGCAGAAGAAGAACGGACACATCAGACCAATTGTGGTTAAGTTCCTTTAAAGATAAAGAGTAAATGAGGAGGAATTCCAAGAAACTTGAAGGGTCAGATATATATATATTTCGGAACAGTTCCCTAAGGAAATTCAGGAAATCAGAAGGAAATTGTGGCCAGTTTGTCAGAAGGCGCGCAAGGATAATAAATGGGCTGTTTTGTGAAGGACAAACTTTATATCAATGATAAGTTATATACCGGACCTATTCCGGACATCCCCCCGCACGGTTCAGGAAAACCGCCCCCCCCCCCCAACTCCCCACCCCCAATCGCGGGACGTCGACAGTCGACAGAGTGACCGACAACAGTCCAAGCCACGTTAGGACAGTGAGGAGAGTAGTAAGAAGTTTCTCAATTTACTGGCATGGAATATCAATGGCGGTGTTGAAAACAAATTAAAATCTAAAAATTTCTTAAATTTCATTAAAACTTACAGTATTGTCAGAATGCTGGATAGCAATTGACTTTCAGGTTGACATTGAAGGTTATTCTACACTAGTTATACTAAGAAAACTTTCACCACATTCACAAGGTGGTGGAATATTAGTTATGATTAACTCTAGTATAGCAAAATATGTATCAGTCTGTGAAATTAATTTTGATTCAGTTGTGTGGCTAAAAATTGATAAAAATCTGATTGATCATGATAAGGATGTGTATTTAGCATGTGTGTATATACCACCTGCTAGTTCTCAATTTTATAATATGTACAATTGTGATTTGTTCTTTGAACTGGAATATGGTATTAGCCATTACTCTACTACGGGTGACATTATGATGTTGGGAGACTATAACAGTCGTACCAGTAACTTGTGTGATTTTGTAAAAAAAATGATACTGTACATGACAGTGTTCAAAGTCGGCCTTCAGATATTTTTACATATAAAAGTGACGAATTGGTTTCAGAAAGAGTCAATTCTGATTCTGGGGTTAATCACTATGGTAACCGTCTTATTGATTTATGTAAAGCTTGTTGTTTACGTATTTTCAATGGAAGAGATAAAAATAATTTCTCCAATGACTTCACA